AGCTACAAGCCGCTGAGGAATATGGGTATGATTATGGGTATAGGTGTGAGTCGCTGAAGGAGGAGTATGAGGTGTTTGTTGAAACACCGGCATCATCAGCACCACCACCAACAATTTCAACATCATATTCTGGGTCTTTTAATTAGGATTCCTTTTAGAGGAAATTGGGTAGGTATTGGGTTATGGGTTAAAAAAAAGGGTCAAACGGGTAGTTCAATAGGATTAAGACACGTGTAAGAAATTAGGGGTCCGTTAGTGAGAGGGGTATATGTGTACCTATAATTGGACGGCAGGGGCTTATGTGGACGGAAAGTATAACGGAGGGCATAGACGTACCATTTATTAAAGTTCGGGGGTAAATCCGTCCCTTCTCCCTTAATTAATTTCGTGTATGTGTGTGAGTAAATGTTTGTTTGGACTTTGGGAACAAAGAATTAAGTGGTGGGGGGCCAAGGGCCAATGTGTCCGAATTTAACTATTTATAGATATTAAGTGAATTTTGTCTGAGTTTGATCGAACGACTGAACTCATACCTTACTATGATCGAGTTATATTAAAATCCTAATACATGTTAGTAGATTTTACCTCATAATTTTAACATTCGAACGAGTTTAATATTGAAAATCTTAAAAGTTGAAGTCATAAAATTTAAATTCCGACCTACGTGTGGGGTCATTAGTTTTGCAATTGGGAAAATGGTGTGTTGTATTCTTTGGAGGGAATGGTTGGAATTCGAGAAAACAAAGTAGTGTACTGTTCAATGGAATATTGGGAAAGGAATTGCTCTTTTATCATATACACACATTCTCTTGTTCTCTCTAAGTGTCCATTGATTGTGACCTACTATTATTAAAATTGAGAATTTTCAAAAAAAATTCTCTCTCCTGTTTTTGTTTTTGGTGTTTTTTTTAGGTATTTTTCTTGAATTAGTATATTCCATCAATAAATTTGTGAAAGAGGCTTGAGTGACTCTCGCAGGCCAAAACATCCATTTGCCTCCCAATAATTTTAATTTCTGTCATTTAGGAAAAAAATGAATAGTCATGTCTTGTTCGTTTCGTTTAATTATAAAACTTTTTAAATTTATAGTCTTACATGTGTTATAATATTTTGATATAGTTATTAAAAAAATTATTTGAGGTTAAAATATGAAATTATTTAAGTCATTTTCAATTTTAGAGAAATGTTCCTTTGAACTTAACGGGAAAAAAAGAAAGAGTATTGGTTGTCAAATATTCTTTTTTTCCTTACACATAAAAATTATTTCAAATACGTTGTCCTTTTGTGTAATATTTTTCCTTTCTCTGTAAATTCTACAAACGAGTTTTTTTTTTTTTATATTCATAGATTTTTTTGACAATTTTTTTTGCCATAATGGAAAACATAAAATCATGATTATTAATTAATTAGGCAAGAATTTTAAGTTGACGCGGCGAAATACTACCCCCACAAATCCCAAAGTTCCACACAATATATAGTACATGCATGCGCAAAGTCAGGTTAAAATGGGAGTCTTTAATACTCCCTCCGTCTCAAATTAAAAATTAATTATAGTGTTTCTTTTTTACACATTATTTAAAAAGTATTAATTTTGATTATCTTATCTTTATTTATGTTTTTAAATGTAATTTTCTTTAGAATATGTATTTTATTTATGTGTCATAATCCCATAATTGATAAATTATTTAAACAAATTGTCTTGAATTTCTAAAATAACAATCAATTAAAAATAATTATTATTAAAAATCACGACAGATAATTTAAGACATAAAAACGTTGTCAATGCAACATCATAGCATATTGATTCATACTCCCTCTGTCCCTAATTACTTGTCCATTTTTCCTTTTTTAGTTGTCCCTAATTACTTGTCCATTTTGACAAATCAAGAAAGGATAATTTTTTTTTACCTATTATACCCTCAATTAATTACTTTGAAAAATGTAGCAATTCTTGAAAATCTTAAGTTTTTAATTCATGCACTTCATAATTAATAGGGGTAAGATGATAAACTAACTATGTTAATAATTGTTTTCTTAATAGGTGTGTCAATTCAAAACTGGACAAGTAATTAGGAACGAAGAGGGTAGAATTACATTGTTTTTTAATTAATGCATTGATACCTTACAATTATTCCTCGATCTATCCATCTTTATCACACTGCAATATACTCAACGAAAAGAATAGTAATGACATCCATACTTTTGACTTTTACACAATATTGGATACATCTAATTTTGCATATTCATATGCTCCATAAATTCTTAAATTAATTCATGTGCCCCATAAAAAGAATAATTACATTAAAATGATGTCTTGAACATTTATGTATCTGCTACATAGCTGTCAAAGTCGTCCTGTAAAAATATTTATTCATACTCAATGTTTGAATTAAATAAATCGATGAATTTAATATATGTATAGTAGATTATTATTTTTAGAGTTGGAACGTTGGTGTACACGTGGTAAGTTTGCAGAAATAACGGGATTTTATTATTTGTGAGAAAAGGGGAAATGAGAAGAGAATGGGGTGGAGTGTCAGAAGGGTGGTTAGGACTTTCGGCGACACCGGCGCTTCAGTCCCACATGTATCTGACGCTGCTCCCATTCTTATTCAACGCCCCTACTCATTTTTCATATACGATTAGTATCTTTCAACTAACCTTTCGATTAAGATATCAACGACAATAATGTATTCAGTGTAATTTTATAGATAAAGTCTGATGAAATTATAATGTATGTAAATTTTATTTCTATTTCATGGAGACATAGTTACAGCTCTGCTAGTGAATTTTGCTTAATCCTCATGAAATCACTATATTTGAGACAATCTAGAAGGTTATTTGTGTTTTTACTTCTAGACTTCTCGTACTACAATCAGAGGCGGAGCTAGGTGGGGGTTCATGGGTTCGAATGAACCCAATAACTTTTCCATAGATCCTGTATTTGTACTAGAAAATTAATTAAATATACATGTCTATTAATTTGTGAACTCCTAACAAAATTGATTGACTGTTTTAAAGAAAATTTAGAACCCACGAATTCTTTATCTTGGCTCCGCCTCTGAGTCTGTCTACAATACTACACATGTTAGGGTGGTTGTGCTCGCTCCTTTACTCAAACTACGTTAAAGATAATAACTCGTACCTTACTATTCAAAAGTGAGTGCTTAAAAGTAATATTATTGATAAGGGATAGCTATTGGCTGATCACACCCATCGTCCTCTCCATGCTTACACGAACCTATGTACTAAAAATATTCGTTGAATGAACACGATAAAATAAATTACTAGATAAATAAGGTAAAGGGAATGCATTCATAAAGAAATTATTATTTATGAAATAAAATGATCACTTTCTTTTTATCTTTTGATTCATTTTGAGTGAAAAAAGAAGATGCATATGGTTGTGTGCATATAAAGGGAGGTCCAAAAAGGCAAATACACTTGAGTTTAAAGGGAGTAGATCGAATTAGAAAATTGATTGAGTAATTAGTGATGTTTTGAATAGGCAACACCAATATTCCCTCTCCGTGTCCAAATATTCTTAAGTATTGGACTTACCTTCTCATCTTGTCTATTGTCGAGCCCTTCTTCTTGGCCAACCAAACATTATATTATAAAAATAGCAAAGAGAGTAATGCCATCCATATTCCTCGGCGTCAACCCACGTGACTTGTGGCCGTGACTCTGTCCTCCTTCCCTATTATTACTTGTTTCTTTTCACCTATTTTTTTAATTCTTGTTTAGCCTTTTTAAGAAAATCTTCTATGATCTCACACGCTATTTTTTAACATTTCTTATTTTTTGGCACTAACCTCTCTGCCTCCACGAAGTAATGGTAAGGTCTACGTACACTCTAGTATTCTCTTTAAATCCTACTTAGTTATATTTTATTGAATATATTGTTGTTGTTGCTATTTTTTGGATTGGTGCTCATGCAAGGTTTGAGAAAGGTCGTTAATTCAAAAACTGTGTAATTTAGACAGCCTATTCCCGATGCAGATATCATTGGTTGATTATATGGTCCGAACTTGTGAACTATAGGTCACACGATAATGACTTATCATTGCTCCAAGCTAATAATTCAATGTTCATGTAGGATCATATGAAAGGTTGCGATCTAACATAAACAGTCTACCTAGACGTTAAGCATCAATAATGAATTCCACAACTTAAACCTATTGCGTATTAGTACACGATCAACTTTAATGTTGCTACCTTTCAATTTTTTTAAAAATA